ATCTCTGTAGCCCCCTGCCCTGCTACCAAAACCCCACCAGACACAAACACAACACACCATGCAACTTGGATTTAGACGTGGAAGCTGGGCAGCATGCTCAAAACTCAGGTTGAAAGGAAAATAAATGGCTAAGATTTGCAACGCAGAAATGTCTGCAATGTGGTCTTAGCCAGAGACACAAGCTGTCCAGCTCCCAAATTATTTGATTAATGAGCATTCTGAAAATAATAGCTTTTGAGTAATGGTTCTTTGAATTTGTTAGTGTCTTAAGCTTTTGCAAAATATGTAGGCATTCCATATTTAATTTTCAGACTGGCAGTGGCTTAATAGCATTCAATTTATTCACAGGTAGGTGTTCAATATTGTGCATTCAGCATTTATGCTTGTATGCATCTATTCATGGATTTTTGACAATTTATTTAAATTAGTAAGAAAGCATTCCTAAACATGCTGGAATTTGTCAGATTGTTTGTCACATAGTCCCAGTACCATCACCATAGTGGCTTCTGGAAATCTGGAGCTATTTGGGACAGGAAGGTTAATTTAGATGAATTCAACAATCTAGAGAGGGAAAAAAAAGATTACTAATTTTCAGAATTCAGGCATCCATATTCAGCATTTGCAAAATGAATTAAAAATGTGGTTTCTGAGCCAAAGCAGCTTTTTATAAAAAAAAATGAAAGTTCAGTTAGAGCAAAAGCGGTTTAAAAAATTATGGACACCAAAATAGAATAACATGTTTCAATAACTTAAATAAAACGCCTTTGCATAGTCCAAGCTTTCCAGCAATTTGCTTTATGATTTTGTGAGGGTTTATTATTCGTCAGATTCCAAGGTGGGGGTTTTGTTAGTGTTTTGAGGTTTCTATCTGAGTTCAGCACACTGGTTTTTTTTAAGAAATCTCAAAAATTCTCATTAATCAGGAAATTCTCCTTTCCGTTCAGCCTTAATTAGAAACCTATTTAGCAAGGGCCGTGCTATGAGGATGAACTTTATTACATCCCAATACAAGGGAAATAAGTTACCTGCTATGTTAAATCAAGGTGACTTTTCTAGTAAACTGGTCATAACCACATGGAAGTATGGTTATGATTCTTGTAAGAGTCTCACAGGCGCCATCACATTGATGGGCAACTGCCTTTCTGTATGCAGGTGCTTGTCACTGTGTATGTACAGGCAACACAGGCATTGTACAGTGGTAAAAAAAATTACTATAATCTGCCTTATCAAAAATATTTTAGACTGTTTATTTAGTTGATGCATCCTCAGAAACGCTGTTGTCGTAATCTACATCATGATGTATGGCAGAGCTACTTGTTTTGCTTGTTAAAAACCTTGAAGAAATTACTTGAGAAATAATCTATTCCAGCTGCAGGAAGTTCCTGGACAGCTGTGTTTTAATTTTTCCACATCCATGATGGTACCTGCTAAAAAATTTATCTGGAGTCCTGCAGGGAAAAGATTCATACACAGCCAAGTGCAAGTAAATGTCCTTAGTTAGAGGCTTTGAGTGGTGTTTTGTGCAGCAACCCAGGTAATGCCAGGCTGATTACACATAATCAGTTCTGCGCTCCAGAATTTATTTCTCCTTTCCATTTATGGATTTATTTTATGGATTGATCTCAAGAGAGAGGAAAAGGGCTGAGCAGAGGGTCAGCTACATATTCGAAACTTAATCCAGGATGTGTGAAACAATCACGGTTCTGTGAGGACATTCCCTGTCATGAGGCTGACTTTCACCACAGACCATGGCCTGCAGCTCTTTGCAAAGTTCTCTGTGCTGGGTACTAACATAAAGCAGTCATTCTGTGGTTGCATGGCTTGACATGTTCCAGGATATGGAATTCCTGACTGTTAGATTGATCCATCATACAAGTCACCCTAGTAGATTATATAAACATGCTTTCTTCTGAACAGCCAAGTGTCTTGTTGTTTCCCTTGAGGATTTCACAGTCTTCAGCATCTTAGATGTTCACACTTTTGCCTCCTTTTCCCCATTAGTTTATGAGTTCTGGGAGTGCATGAGGGCTGTGTCATTCAATATCAGAAAGATGCCATTTAGTGTGCCAGCTTTTGGTCCTCTATCGTCAGCATGGTTTGCCTTTCAGTCACAAATGCCCTTGAATGTTTAACTAAAAGAAAAAGACAAAGAGGGAGGCTCATTACCTTGTGCTGTTTCGAAAATAAAAGCATTAAATGTTTGATTCAAACTACCTTTTGGCATGAGTGGGCTTTACCTGAGAGTCCTATCAGGTAGTAGCCCAAGTTCAGTAAGGCCTTCAGTACATGTCATGTGCCTGAAGTCTTTGCTGGTTTAGATCCTCTTGAATTCTGGCCACCAGAAGGGATACAGCACAGGGGCAGGCTGAAGCACAGCTGGTTTTACTTACCTGAGTGGGGAATGAGTTCTGAGCTTTTGGAGAAGCTCTGCTTTAGAAGTATCTGCTGTTGGCTTGCCTCAGGTGATGATTTCCTGTTTGTGAACCATCACTGAGCTGGTCAAAGACCTTTTCTCCTTCGCATTATACTTAAATCTTGTTTAAATTGTGATATATTGTTCAGAGAGCATAGGAAACAACCCAGTACTTCCGTACATTCGTTGTGTTTCCTGTCCTGCCTTCAGGATACATTTTAACACTGTTCCTGGTGAATCAGGATGACAGTGTATGAAGGCCAATTGCTGTGGGAGGATAGCAGCCATTGCTCAGAGAGTATTATTTTTTTTGTTTGTTGTGCACATTTACTAGACTTGGGCTTTCCTTATTGGCCTGAACCATTGTCTACGTTTTTCTTAAATAACAGCCTGGGTGCCATAGCTCCGAACCAGATAAATTAGTTTCATAGTGTGAACCTGATAGAGGTATAGCAACAAAAGCAACCAGCACATGCTTGCATGTGAGATTAAAATACTGTATTCATAGCTCTGGAAAAGAATGGTGATACTCCTTTAGCTATAATTTCAAATGCATTTAGAATAAAGAAATAAAATCACTGAAGAGGCACAGAGTGGGAAGAATCAGCCTGCAATACATAAAGATGCATCGCCATCCTTCTTGCTCTTGAGATGCAGTTAATACAAAATACAGAAAGCCTGAAGGAAGAAGAAAGGCTATTGAACAACAGAAAAATCATCAGTGAGTGAAAACTCACATAACTGTTCTTGACAGCTGCAATTACCTTTGGCCTGCAGCTGGTCAAGAGACTGGCAGATACCAGCTGGACAAAGCGTGCCAAGAGAGAGAACAGCCAGACATAAGGGCTCTGGAGCACCTCTGAAGTGTATCCAACAGCCCTGCTCTTCTGTGCCTGCTCAGCGAGGAACATAGGTAGTGACTTTCTGTGTTATTTTCCATGGCCAGTAGGATAGCCTGAATGGCCCAGGTAAAACCCTCCATAAGATGAAACTGGTGCTTGGTGTAGACATACCAAATTCTTAGGTGGGCTGAGGTGGCTGCAGACTCTTCAGTCAGTTTTTGCTTTAGTCCTTTCCCATCATGGTAGAAATACTGCTTTATTTAACCTCTTAATAAGTAATGGTAGGCACCACTGTGGTGAGAAAAGCCAGCATATGACAGGGAAATTCAGTCACTCTATAAGAAACTCTCTTTGGTGGTAATTAGCCAACTTACACCACTTTGCTTTTACAGAAGCTTCTCTGTAATCACATATCTCTTCTATGGGTCTATTAGTCATAGACCAATTTCTATGCTGTGCTGTGAAGTCATCTAAACTAGCAAATAAAACAGTGACATCCAACAAATAAATGTCTTCCCACAGATAATTCAGGTTCCATTGCACAGGGACTAAACAGCTTGCTTTCCATATGACTAGGACTGTTGGCACTTATGAAGGCCCTACAAAGATCTGTGAAGTTTTGCTGCTGGTGGTGACAAGTTTGATTCCAGTTTTGTTACTTCATTTCTGCGGGACGTTCCAGCTGGGACTGTACTTCCCACTTAATGACTGAAAGCTTGAAAGATCTCTGGTTTAACACAGAAAGAATGTAAAGGGTGTTTAACCTCAAGTCCTCTTGGAGTAATTTTTCTGACTATAGTCGTCTTCTCTTCTTTCCATTTATCTGCAGGTCTCTCATGATTTTGCAATCAATTTCAATGAAGACAACCCAGAATGTGCAGGTAACACTCACATTAGGACAGACTGACATACTTTTGCTGTGTGCAAAATGTGCTTGCATTTTTTATTGTATCCCCTGAGTATTATTCAAAGTTTTTTTAAAGAAAGCAGCCAGGATTTTCAAAACCTGACAGACTCCAAGCAATCAGGCTTAGATTTAGAAACCTTAGAAAGTGCCACACATTAATTTCCTGAAAAACAGGTCCCTTTGAAAGTACACCATGTTGGACATTCAGCACTTGCACTTCCCCAAATCACTAGCATTTCTGAAAACTAAAGCCATGTCTTCTGGATTGTTCCAGATCTTCAGCTACATCAACATCATAGGTTGTGCAGTTAAGAAGTATAGGACATGCAAAAGCAGTCTGTGAACCTCTGCGATCAAAGATTCTGTCAGTTTAGAACCAGTTCTTTGGCCAAACCTATAGCAACAGTAGCCTGCTGTAAGTCAGCCCAGCAATGTCCAGCACCAAAGAGTCAGGGTAGCAGCTGAGGATTACTGTGGTAGAAGGAAGCATACTTTCATGACAGCAAATGCAGTAGGAGGGTGTTTAAACACAATGTAAGATACTGGTATGTTCTACAAACAATCGCTAATCCTCAGTGGTCAGAGGCCAGACTTACATAGCAGACGTTGCTGTATGCCTTGTATTTGTAAGTGAGGGCTGCAGTGACTGATGCTGTCTTTCTAGAATCTCCTGCCAAATTCACACATTTTGTAAAAGAAAATAACAAGACAATAAACAGTCTAACAAGTAATCCCAGACTAACACTTAGTTGACAGTCTTGGTCATATGATCATTGCTGTCTAAAATCCACAGGTTGTTATTCTCCCTTATCCTTCTGCCACCATCCAAGCACTGAAATGGGTGTTTCAAAATGCTCTCCCTGTTTAAATTTTCTAGCTGCTCCTTTCAGACTTTCTCAGGCTTATTGGTGGCTTGCTTTCAGGCATGGTCAGCAGAATATGTTCAGGATGAGAATTAAGATGCCAAGAAATTAAGTGAGGAAAAGAAGAGAGGACAAGCAACTCAAGGAAAAGAAATATTAAAATAATTCAGAGTTCATGCATCTTAAATGCAAGACCTTTGTTTTTGGTTCAGTGGGCATTACTGCTTTGTTGTTGCACCTGGATTGTTGGACTGCCCCAGCCTCTGCAGGTCATATGCTTGAAATGTAATTGAGCATATCCTACAGGTGCTTGATGTGTTCACTCAGCTTTTTACATTGCTCTTAAGGAGTTAAAAGAAGCAGAAATTACATGTATGCATCTAGAAGTGCCTGGAAGCTTGTAAGCCTGCTTGAAGTTGAGATTTTAGTCACACTGAGGGTATGGAGAAGAGGTGGGGAAGCAAAACAGACCTCAGAATTTTGTCTGGACCACCATATATTAAAATGTGTTAGTTTGCCTGCTTCTGAACACAGACACATTGGCATCTACATGGGGCCTGACCTGTTTAAAACATCTCAGTCAACAATGATCAACATTAAGTGATAACATATTTATTAATGTAGTGTTCAAATACAGCTTTGTTTCCCAATCTAAATGCAGGACACTTGTGACGTTCCACATACCTCAGAAAAAAACACTTGCAGTCCATGCAAAGAACACTTTATTATCCCCCTTTTGCTGCATATTTTGAGTCGAAGGGTAATTCTTTTATCCCTCTGACATTGTTATTTAAAGGTTTGAATTGATTGAAAAGTCTGTCACATCCATGTAGGGCCAGCAGCAGGTCAGAGGTTGGACAGACAAAGCCTCTGCAAGTAAAGAATTTACTATCCAGACCATACTACGTATGCAAAATAAAATGTAAAAAAGGAAATGAGAGGAGGTTAAAAAAAGGAATGCGCTGCTCTGTGACCCTTGCCTTGGCTTATGTCACTTAATATTCATTTGCATTTAAACTTCACTTGGTTCTTTGCATATGACTCAGTTATCTGAGAAGTTAATCCATCGCCTAAAAGGAGTTTTAGTGCTAAGAAGACAAAAAAAGATGGTTGCAGCACAAAAAAAAGGGCCAGGGAACAAATTTTGCAGCATTCACACATGCATCTACGAGATATAAAAAGCACTCCTTTGTCCTAAATGATACCTTTTAAAGCAATATCCATCTGGATGAAAGCAAGAAAAGGGAAGACCAGAAAACCTGTTGTTTAATCATCTGCTGCAGCTTGCTCATCACCTGCCTGTCATGGATGCTTGACTAGTTCCTACCGCCAATTGTTCTGCAATGTTTTCTAGATGCTCTCACTGTATCAGGTGACACAGCAAGCAGTAACACCAGCATGTCATGCGGAGAGAGGATGCAAAAGTGTGACAGAGATAAAGTGCTCAGTGACCACACTATTTTTCCTTCTAATATTTATATTTGTAATACTTGCAAGAAAATGAAAATTGCTGAAGAGTATCTTGCTTTAAACCAAGAAACAAAGGTTGGATCCAACATAAAAAGTATGTGTCTAATTCACTTTTGAGGAACTAAGTATGTTTCTTTGTGGAAGTAGTGAGCTTCCGCTGGCACAAGGTAGTGTGAAGCATCGCTCTACACTGAATAAGGGCTGTGTATTGCTGTGAAGATGACGGGAATTCATAAAATATGGATATCTTCACCCTTCCTCCCCTGTTACCATTTCCATTCTTGCAAATTTTGTTATTTATAGCCTTATATTTAGTATATTTGTTATATTTATAGTCTTATACTTAATGCTTATTATTGTCTGAGGAAGAAAATAAGTTACAACCTCTAATCTGAATGAATGCTTTTACAAATGCATGCATTTTACATGCATCTTAAACCTATATACATATGCATACACTGTATTTCATCAGAGCTATTGAAAGTGGATTCCAATTAGAAGTGTAAAGAGTTGAATTCTGAAGCAAAATGCACACTGGCTTTCCCTAAAGTAAATGAGTCCAGGAAAAGTAAGCTACAAAGTAAGCCACTCACATATCCTGCTTGATTTGAATATATAAGGACAGTAGGTATTTCTAAAAGATATTAATCTGAGATAGCAAACAAGAAATCATGTTTCTAGAACAAGTTTGTTTCTAAGATGAAAGCAACTTTCTGACATGAACCATGCTAAAGCTGTGTGGAATGCAGGGAGTGAGGTTTATTTTATAATATTTTAATGCATACGAAAAAAACCACAGTGTATCTTGTCATCATCTTAGGGAAGGTTTATGAGGCCTTCATGCAAGATCAGTAAGTATATGTAATGAAATCCTTAACAAGGAACTCCCTTAAAATTGGGAGTTAATAAGAGGTCAGTTTTGTAATATGTAATTTAGTCACTGGAATTACCAAGGGAAATTTTGTAACATTACTTTACATTTTAGGCAATCATAGCTATAATTGGAGCGTGTTCTTTTGTCTGTGAGCACCGCAATGGAAAAATACATTCGTAGCTATCTATAAAGAGAGAAGACTGCATTCTCCACCATTTTTTCATAGGAGGTTCAGGTGTGTTGTTGTAAAGCAATTACAACTCGCTGTGATTTGTTAGTAACCAGTCTGCACCCATATACCCTGTAAACATGGCTGGGTAAAATCTTGTGAGTGAGCTAGTCTCAGTGCAAACTGAAACTGGCTTAGGATCTTACTGAAGTCATTTCATTCTTCAGCATCGTTTACAAAGCTCTTTAGTCTATCACTTTCTTTCCAACTTTAGACCTCTAATCCTTGAGGTCTGGTAAGCTGGGAGTTCTGAATGTGGAGGCTAATGTGCATCACTTCAAGAAATCCTTCTTCTCAATGATTGAAAACACCAATTTCCATTCTGTGATCTGTCAAGTGTGTCAGCAGAAGTCTGTTCTCCCTGGTCTGGCTATATATCCTGAAATGAAAAAGCCAAAAATAGCTAGTTCTCCATCAAAACTTCTTGACTAAAGCTCATTTTTCTGTAGGCTGCAAAGCTTCCTGCTGTTTCCTCGAAGATTTCACAGCTTTTGGTCATAGTCAAATTCAACTTGTGAGCAATTATGCAAATTCACCCTGAAAAATTATTTTCTTAGCACAAGGGAGTCAGGTATTTGAAAAGATGTTTGAATTCCTTGACAGCTCTAGGTTCTAAGTACAAAAGGCAAATTTGTTGGTAACTACCATGATAAACAGAAATAAATATTTATCTGAAGAGGAGGAGAGAGAAGTTTTGAAGTGTTTTTGATTTGTGTCTACCCTTTTAGCACGAAGCTTAGCTGGTGATCAGGAAGTAATCACGTACACCTTGAAATGAGAAGGATGGAAGCTATGGCATTGCAAGCTGATACCTGGAAAATAGACATTAAAAACTGCTGCGAACGAGAAGCACGGTATAATGAATTAGATACTACAAACTAGATTCAAGGCAGCTAGAGACAGGTTCTCGGAAATTATCTGAAGTAGTTAGTCCTTGCTAATCATGTGATTATTTTGAATTTATTTGTTAAGAACTCACCTTTTATTTACATTTCAAATAAGCATGATATTGGTGATGTGCTCCACATTTATTTGCCTTTTGTGTGGCTTTTCATGCCAGGAATACAAGGTGTTGTAGAAGCTTATCAGAGCTGCCTTCCCAAGCTGCAGCTGTATGGGCCAACAAACATTGCTCCCATCATCCAGAAGGTGGCAAAATCAGCATCAGAGGAGACCAACACCAAGGAGGCCTCGGTAAGGGCATAATGCTGGTTTTGGCTTTTTTCTTGTCTTATGATGGATCTCTTGTAGGCCACCAAAACAAGGCCTTTTCATGTAAGTGAATCATGCCTTCACAGATTTCACTAACTGCCTTCACAGAAGACAGCTTGAGCCTGTGTCACCTGGAGCAGTGTATCTAGCCTTTATAGCTGATAGTCACAACTTTAAATTCTTCCCCCACTGTTCTGTTTCCTGCTTTTAGAGCTGTTTTACTGTAATGCCCAGTTCTTCACTGTGGAAACATAAATGGCACCACTAAGGTTACAAAAATTTAGAGGCTAAGCCCTAAAAGTGTTGCTCATACAAGGCCATGAGTTCAAATGATTCCCTACGTAGGCTACCCAATTTCAAGTCTGTAACAGAGGCTGTACTAAAACTTTTTTGTTCAACTAGGGGATTTTTCATCAATTCCTTTGAAAATTGTAGTGATACAGTTTTCAATTTGCTATTACTGACATGGAGTATCATGTGCCTTTTAGAAACCAGGAGACAAGTCTGTTAGCCTGCATCTGATACAAAACCCATGACAGATTTCTTGGGCTAAAAGACTGAAGCATAGATTGTGTTTTAAATGTACATCTTTGAAATGCATTAGGCTTATTTTTCTCCTGCCTTCCAGACAGAATGGGAGAAAGGAAGAACGAGAGAATTGGAGAGAATATGTCAGTGAGTAGGTCCAAAACATTTACAAGAGCACTGCTGTGGGAGTAAAGGATATAAGAGTGAACTTGTATACTGCAGCAAGAAAAATGCCTATGTATAGGAACAGAATAGAGCTGTACATTGTCATGCCTTTCATCACCAGGCCTAGAGCTTTCTCTAAGCTTTCTTCATATGCTGAGCCTTTTTTTAAGTCCTGTTAAGGCAGCAGTTCCCAAACATTTCTGTTCATTAGTCTGGGCTTGTGATTGTCACTCCACTGCTGTTTCCAGGATCTTGAGGGTATTTAGGGTCCCAGTCCTAAAATGGGGAATTGCTATGTTTGAATTTCCATACCCACCTAATCCTGAGTGGTTCATTCTGTTTCTAGTGTTGCTTCTGAACTAGTACGTCATATTGCACAAGTTGCTTCCTTCTTCTAAACCTAAGTTTCCCCTCTCTCTGTTTGAAAAACAATTTATAGCATGAGTCTTCAAGATAAAGTTTTCTTCATGCCTGTTTTGTTTTATTCATGGCAAGAGGTGATGAATAGAACACTTTGAGTTAATATAGCTGTGTATGCATATACTGTAATGGTGTTTAGTGCATTGGTATTGCTCGTGCACAGTGACCAAATTCTATGACCCGTTCATTTTTCCTATTAATGCATATTTGTTAAATGACTCCAGCTGCCTAACAATTCATAACAGATCCAAGTGAAAGTCACTCTTCCCCATTACCAAGTGAAGATATGCCATAACCCATGATCCCAGTTCAGTGGGCTTTGGAGTTTTGGGAAGTAAATGACATATGCACAAAATTGCTTGCTGTCCTTTTGAGAATGAGAAAACTTCTCTTCAGGGCTCTGCATGAAGTGTTCAAAAAATGGATATATCCCTCCCTGCACATGCCCTTGCTCTCCTCAGGGACCCCATTACTCTGCAGAATGGAATAGACCTGCCATGGTGTGGTGCTTCTCCCACAGGCAGCAGTGGGTCACCCTCCAGTTTGCAGCTGGCCGCACCCTCCCACTTGCTTGTTAGCAAAACTCCTCTTCAAAGTGCTGTCATAACCTCCCTGACAGCTATGCTACAGGCTTGTAATGCTTCAATACCCCGTTCCTCCCTGCCTCCCACTGGTTCCCAAAGGAGGAAAAAATGTAATCAGAAACTGTCAGCAGAAGTGATTGTGCAGCAGATGGAAAATAGTGAGGATCTCAGGACTATTCCAGACTTCCCAGCCAAAGTCCTGACTCTCCTAGCCCTTTTCTACACTGCGCACCCCTTGGCTCCCTCCAGCTCCTGGAAACTACCTGAACTAGAGCTGGACTCCAGAAGAGGAGAAATCAACAGCTGAGGAAATTTGGATGGGAAACACACTTAACCTTTGAGTCACTATAATAAAGGCTCTTTTCTATTTAAGAAAGTCCATGAGTGAGTTACCAGAAACGCCTTTATACTGGAAAAGGGCAAGCAGCTTTGGAAGATTAACTAATGATACAATTTTTCACTTCTTGTCCAACAATTTCAGCAATATTTCATCTTACTGATTCTGACGGATGGCGTCATCACAGACATGGCTGACACCAGAGAGGCCATTGTCCATGCCTCTCACCTCCCCATGTCAGTCATCATCGTCGGGGTGGGGAACGCCGATTTCAGTGACATGCAGATGCTGGATGGTGATGATGGGATCCTGAGGTCTCCCAAAGGCGAGCCTGTGCTTCGAGACATTGTCCAGTTTGTGCCATTTCGGAACTTCAAACATGTAAGCTGGCTTTTCCTTCCATTCCACAGAAGGGTGAATGTATATAACACATAGTTAACAGTCCCTGGGGCTGGGCCTAACATTGGATGGGCATGAAGTGTTTAGTAAGCCTATGGCATTATTGTGTCAGAAATGGGGATAAAAAGGAATACAGAATGAAATGTGCTCCATTAGTGAAATGGTGAGGGTTAGGAAGGAAGAGATGGGGCAGAATCCATGTGCTTCTTGTGGTGCCTGTCCTTACTTCCACTTCCTTCCTGATTTTAGTTTGGTTGCCCTCCCTGACTTATTTTTGCTAGTGTCTCTTTTCCATTCTCTTCACATCTGTTCTATTAGGATTACTGTGTTCTGCTTTCCATCCCTTTAAAGGTTGGACTCGGTGATCTTGAAGGTCTCTTCCAACCAAAACTGTTCTAATTTCCACAGGCAACTGAAATAGCTGTGAATTTGTACTCACAGTCTTCCCCAGGAGGTCCCTAAATTCTCAAAGGCAGGACTATCCACCCACAGCATCCTGGTTGCCAGCAAACCCTTTCCCCAAATTCTGTACAAGAACACAACCAAGAAAGCCGTGTTACTAAGAGCTGCTGTGTGCCCTCAACCAGCTGTTCCTGTCTGAGCCCAGCACGGTGTAGGAGACACTCTGTAGGAGAGGAAGGGACAGACCCACCATTAAATTGCAAAATTTGAAATAATGTCTTGGCCATGTATTTTTCTCCTCAGTCACCTGCCCTACATTGCAGCATCTGTCCCAGGGACTTTTTCAGCAGCTGGGTAGAGACAGTGTTTGCCCACAGAAGGAGCTTTCCCATACGCAGACGGGTTTTTCAGGGTCCTTTTCCTCCATGTGGAGGCATGGAACGGCCATTGTTTTCCTCTGCAATGCTGATCACATCTCTTCCCCTCTGCTTTTCCACCTTTCTCTCCCTTCCTTCCCCTCATCCCTTCCATAATATTTAAGTGGTTCTTCAGACTTTTTTTTTTTTCCTCACCTCGGTGGCAGGGAAGGATATCCTCAGTATTTGATTTGAAAATTTCTTTACCCCCACAGTGCAACTGAATCATTCTCCTCATGAGGTTGTCCTTTCCAATCCATTCCCATTCACTAGTGATCCTTAGATCTGGAAGAAGATCACACAGAAGTTTTCAACTGGGTTGGTTCTGGGTTTGCAGTGCTTATATTTCTTTAGTTTTTCTAAGATTTTGTTACCACAGATTTTTTTTTCTGTTTACTACTTCCAAAATACCTTCATTTTATTTTGCTCTTCTCAGGGGTTGTTCTTTTTTCTTACTCCAAAATACAATTTTGCCATATTTGCCTGAGGTCTAGATTCAAGATCTTATTTTCACGAACTCTACTGAGGAGTAAGAGAAAAAAACTTGTTCCTCTTTTCCCTCTACCTTTATGCAAACAATGGATCCTCATAGGAGGTAAAACTCACCTTGTGCTATTAGTTTGGTGACACCATGCCAAATGGTTGCAGATTTGCCACTGAATTGCAGATACATAAATTTCTGTACTGACAGTGCCACTCACTCACCTGTCTGCTAGAACAAAGTATGAGCACGACCTGCTAATAGCTTGTGATTCTGCTTCATCACATAATCACAAGTATGTAGTGCTGCACTATAGTCTATTGTAAAAGTGTGGAGAGGCAAGTTATTTATGGGCTAGTGCTAGACCTACTTTCAATTAGCTGAAAACATGTTTCTGCAAGGAACTGGCAAAGCCAGCTGCATTTGTTATTTTTAGTTTCATTTTGTGATTTTATAATAAAGTTGAAATCATCCTTGGTTGAATAGATTAACGCTGACAGTTGCAGTTCTGGGCACTGAATATATTGTGCCTCTGGTGTTAACTTGTGAGTGAGCCTATGTGTGATTTTAATTGCTGGCACTGGTCAAATGAAAAGCATATCTTATTTTTAGCTGGTTTATATTAACTTTCCTGGTACTGGGAGAGGATGGCAATCTTAAAAATGTATTGCTCTTGCTAAAGAATGATATTTTTCTCCCCCATTCTCTCAGCAGCAGAGGTAATACAGGTATAGATAATGTATTTGCTATATCAGAAAAGTCAATATATCTTATGAAACCTGATATTTAGCCTGTTTATTGTGATCTTTCAGCATTTCAACAAATGTCAGTGTAATGGATGAGTGCCCACAACAATAGCCACCTCTGGTTGGATTTCTTTATTGTCATATCCCAAACAATCTCTCTCTCTGAACAAAGTGACATTCACAACTACCCTCAGCACAAATGAAAGATTGTGCCTTTTGCATCAACTAGTGAAATAATTTTTCATGGAGGAAATAAGAGTGATGTTTTGATTCGGACTTATTTTTCCCCACAAATAAATGTGGATTTAAAAAATTTGGGAGATTTTTATCAGATCTGTTCTGATCAAACACAAGAATTAACATATATCAGCATATTACATTTGACAGCTTTAAGTAAAAGATGTATTTAGTTAAAATCACATCACTTTTGTCAATATACCTTGTGTTTAGTTTTGATATTTAGGTTGTTCAACTATTAAGTAGAAAAAAAAAAGTTGAAGGATCTTTTAGAAAGACTACAAATCAATAAAAAGTTGTATAAGGTTTACAGGTTTTTTTGATAAATCAATTATTTATTTATGCCTAAATCCATATTACCTCTACTACTGACAGAAGAAGAGAAGAAAATTTTATTTGTGAGGAATTATTTTTTGTTTTGCTAGAACAGTAAACAAAAGCTCACTTGGAGTCAACCCAAACAACTTTTTTTTTCCATTACTTCAATTCTGCAGTTAGCCTGGAACTCAAAATATCATATCTATCCAAAGAGATCAAAAATAATCTATCCAAACCCAGCCTCTGTCAGAAAATTGAAAGGAGGGAGAAGGAAATTGTAAAAATAACCTATAGAGTGAATCCCTTTTATTTTATGTTTGACTTCAGAGAAGGTTCTCATCATGCCTAGCACTCATACAGGCATTTAATACATTTCAACTAGTTGCATTATTCACATACCTAAAAACTCACAGCCACTTCAATGTTTTACTGGCCTAAGACACAATGTAGACAGAAAGCTTTATTATAGGGGTTTAATATCCTACATGATGTAATGTATCAGCAGTACTTCAGTAAAGCATCTTACCTTTTTCACTCTCTTTAAGGAATATCTTTGAAGCTATCAAAATACTAATAAGTTCTTGGCAAATCCTGTAGTTGCAGAGGCTTGATAAAATCAAGGCAACCATTACTGCTTTAAAAAAGTCCCATTGTATAGCGAGTGATGTGCAATTCACGTCAGGGGAATGTAATGAAAGGAAAATATTTTCCCTGAACCCAAGTGAATTTCTTCTCTCTGTAATTATCACCACCCCAGCAATGTGAGTGTCCTTTTCCTGAAACTGTAGAACACTGATCTTCACAATCACTAAAATGTAGTGGAAGAAAATCACCTGTCTCAATCCATTCACAGTCATATTTTAAGAGCTGAAATTCCTGCCTTTAGGATGCACAGTATATTTATTGTGCAAAAATCTGATGCCACAGGTAGATTGTATTCCACTCTGCATTGTATTTAATCATAAAGGCTAACAACTGTGACTTAATAGCTCATATATCACAAAGGAATGTGGAAAACACAGCTCTCAACCACTGCAAGAAGCAATGTTTTGCACTATGCATTGGTAATTAAAGATTAAGCACGTTGAGGCTATAGAACTGAATCAACAGTCATTTGTGATATACACCAATTATCACCACAGCAGATTATTTTCCTGGTGCTGGCGGATCTGATTGTTGTGTATTAGCCATCAGTTGAGAACTATTCATCTTGAGGTGTTTATTGCTAGGATGGTCTTCAAGCATAGCAGTTAAACAGAGGAGAAAATGTTACAGTAAAACATTAACATAGCATCTGTGTTAAAAACACAGCGAAGGTAACCCTTACAGAGCGCTGCTGAACTGGGGCTGGTTTTAACTCAGAAGTTACTGGGTCTGATTCTTATACAAACGCTGCTTTGCACCATCTGGCCTAGAAGTGAGAATGCTTTACCACCACAAAAGTACATAAGGTACAGGTGGCCCAAATCATCAGATGGGAAATCACCCCTAACCCCGGGTTTGGGATGCTCCCTGCTAGAAAGAGCCCCAGGACCAACAGACATCACCAGCACGATGAAACTTTGTAAAGCAACAGTTCCACATTCAGACTGAAGAACGGCAGTCAAGCCAGCTACCCCAGGGCAACTCTGTGTGGGGCCATATGTGGCCTTTGAGCCTGTGGGCACAGTAAAGGTGTTAGCGTAAAGCTCAGTGAAGGGCTTTTTACTTCACATGCACGCTGGGCGAGGAGTGTATAGCTCAGCTGACTCTTCAAGTGGTGGTGACTCAGCCGTGCATCTGAGCCCTGACAGACCCTGTACTGCAGGGCTGACCCTTTGTTCAGGAAGAATGGATGTGGCGAAGGGAGGAGGATCCAGAGTGTGTTGGCCCAATGTTCAGACACGTGGACTACAAGTGATCCAGAGAAGCTGATAGCAAGTGTTCCTGCCCAGCATTTTCAAAGATATAGCACAGTGAAGCTTCCTAATTGCTAGGGCTTGTGTGTGCAGTGATGGCCCAGGACTCTTCCCCCACTCTCTCGCTTTTACCTTTATGTAGGGTTGTATTTTTTGGTAAGATGGCTCAGGGGCAGAATACGGTATATACAGCTTTGGGAAAGACATTAAAAAAACCAGTCATTCTCAACAGCAACAAAAAAATCAGCCATTTGCCTGATTCCAAGGTGTATTTTCTGCTGATTTCAGTGAAAACAGGTTTGGGCAAGAATAGGGCAACTGTGGAAAACCACGCATTTCACTTTGAAGGATTAAAATAAATGGATTCTGTTACTTTGTAACACACCTGAGAACTGTTGCTGCGCAGTCACACAAAGTATGGGCTCTGCTTTGCCAGTTTGTTCTTGCAGAAATGTTCCAGACTTTTTTTGCCTGCACAAATATTTTGATATAAATGTCACAGTAGGGAAATAGCAGTTCATTTTATTCCTTACTAATCACATATGTGACTTAAAATACCAAACCGGAAAATTAGTTTCATTTCTGGCTTTGCTAGCATAATATTTGTATTTGTAGTATTATAACATTTGGTACTGGAATTTATAATGGCCCGGGGGCTTTCTGCACCCCTGGGTTAGCTTGTCTATGAAGAGTTTACCATGTAAGCCTAATTTTAAGACTCTGGAAGCATAAAGATCCCACCCCATGGAATACAGTAGGGCAGCAAATAGTCAATACAACCACTTTGTGACAAGGTAGTTTTGAAAGCTGACTGACAATATAACAGGCAGTGAGGTGTGAATTGTTCCTTAATGTGGGAAAAACTACTTGGTGTGCAGAAGAAACTTGACTCAGACACCGGCTGAGCTCCTGTGCATCATTTGAGCTGCAACGTGTGATCCATGTGTGCTCTAGCTGGAGATAAACATGTTAGTTCAAACTTCTCAAACTGACATTTAAGGATTCGCATTTTTACTGCATTTTTGTGGTGAACTCAGAGGAAACACAGTGAGGCAGGCTGGCTCCAGGGGGCTTGGAATCGGCTCTAACCAAATACTTAGAAACAAGCAAATCCAACACAGGGGGCAAGAGGGTGCTATGGGGCTGCATGGGAGAACAGAGGTCCAGTTTTGTCACTGCTGAATTCAGGGCCTGAGGAAAATCCCTGCAGCACATGCAGGCAACGGTTGGCCACAAAATATCCACAGGCCCCGCTGCTAAAATGAAGCGTTCTCAGGGTGTGAAGCAGCAACTGTGTGTTGCCGATGGAGGGCATGGTTTCTCCTTGCAGTGAGGGGTAGTCCTCCTCCCTGCCTGCAGCAAAAGCCAGTGGCCATCTCTATATCCACCTCTACATTTCAGGGTCATCAGTTCTTGTGCCTGGTTGACACCCACCATTTATACATTGCAGGAAGAGCTTTGAAGCTTCCATGAAGCCTAGGATTGAAGCTTTGTCGTGACCACGGTTTAATTCCAATGAAAACAAAATATTTTTTAATGAATTAAAAACTTCCCCAGCCATTAAAGCACCATGCCAGATGCTGAAGAGCAGAATGGTGATGAAGGTCTCTCTTTTACAGTGATGTTCATTCATGTTCAACTTGAAGCTCTGCAGGGTTCCTCACTGAGTACTGAGGAATTAAGTCTTTGCAGCTCTTTTCATTGCAATATGGTGTTCTCCCAGGGCACAGGGAAGTTCAGTTACCCTGAACTTAAAATAGTCCAAACAGACCCAAAAAACACGCAGAGCAGTTTTGGCTTCAGTGTACTTTCAGGCAGCTACATGCCCAGAATGATTAGTAAAATAAGTTTCCAGCAATAATGCCACTCACTTTGAGTCTTTTTTGCCCTCTGTTTCTGTGCCATACTTTCTACCTTGATCTCATAGCACCAATGTCTTTAAAACCCATGGCACTTCTAGCAGAGAGACAGGTTAACGCTTGTGTTTTCTACCATTTCCTGCAGGCATCCCCAGCTGCTCTAGCAAAAAGCGTTTTGGCTGAAGTTCCAAACCAAGTCGTGGACTATTACAATGGCAAAGGGATAAAACCAAAATGTATGTCAGAGTACGAGTCTTCCAGGACACTAGCTCCATGAACCTGCCTGCACTCTTTTACAAAATTAAAAAAGAAAAATGCTACTCTCTACAACTACTTAAAAATGAAACAAAAAAATAGCACGTTTTGGTGATTTTTAACTAAAATAACCATTTTTTTTGCATGTGTAGCCTAAAGGCTTAAATCTGTTAAGCAGTTGTATTGTTGAAAACTTTTTATGAGAAAAAAAATCCAGGAAAAAAAGTGAACTCTTTACATTACAGCATGTCGCCTTGAAATAAAAAGTTATCTGTATCTGGTTTTTATACAGGTTTGTTGAAATTTTGCTAAATTTCTTATCTTTACACTGTAAAGCATTTTGAAATATTTATTGAGAGTCGATAGCCAAAATGTCTTTGGTTTAATCTGCTATGAACTGAGAGATTTTTCAAAATGGCAGATGCATGAACTGTATTTTGCATGTTTAAAATAAAAACAACACAGTTTTGCAGTTGTTGTCTTTATTTCTCTCTCTGCCACAAGGCTGCCTGCTTTCAACTTCCACATTCTAAGAAAAGGGTAATAAAAGTGTTTCAAGAGATACCTGGCCTGAAGCATGGGCATTTCTAATGTTAGCAGCTTATAACGTGGAAACACAAACATGCCCACTCAGTCTGCGGCCTGAGTAGCAATTTTTCAAAAGCCTGGCATATTCAGCTGTTACAAAGGATTCAGACCATAGCCGCAAACAGATCTGGCTTGGAGGGCATGATCCATCAGGATTGCACGTCTTAAAATATGCCTACTTAATCCAAACGATCTGGCTGGCTTTCAAACGGGTTGTATTTCGGCTACCCAAATTTATAATCTCTTATGTTTGGGAATTCTTATTTTGTTTCATTTGTATTTTTTAAACTCACACCCAATATCCAACTTTGCGTGACATGTTTTCCAAAAGAAATTTTGCACAGCCTGATTTTGTGACAACCAGTGATCTGTAACTTTGTGCACACACAGACCACTTGTGTGTGACAGAAAATTTGGTTTTGTACCAAAAGAATATTCAAGACATATTTTTTTTTAAAAGACAACACACAAGAACAGATTGGCAGTGGATTGATCTTTCCATTGAAATATTTATATATATAAATGAAGAAATTAGATCATTGTTATTCTTAGTGTTTAAATTTTGGCTTCTTCATTTGCTAAAAGACAATAGTGAAAGATGTGACTTGTTAGAAGACTAACATTTGACCAAAAATAATTTGTGTGGGATTGTCCGAAGAGCACGGCTTTGGATAAATTGTGCTCCCATTGAATTGAAAACATTCTTGTTGCTTGTTCCAGAAGAAGCTGCTTTGGGCCAGTGCTGAATATTTTGGAAAACCTCACTTGTGAGCAGCAGTTTTTATTTTAGAAATATGTATTTTTAAATGAGTTTGCAGGTAATGTAGAACTCTAGCTCCCTGATTCTCCTTTAGAATTAACTTCCATGGGACCAGCTTCGATTGATGATTTTGTACCACAAAATGAAGGCAATGGGATGGCCAAGATGCATGGGGCTGTCTCCCCAGCACATTCAGTTCTGCTCCATCTATATCCTGCAGTGCAATCATTCACGCTTGCTAGTAAAGATTCCTTCAGCTGATCGGATATTGAACAGCCAGTATTACTTGGTCATAGGTATAAATCATCTAAAGATGTCCTGACTGATAGATCTCAAATCCACATTTCCATTTAATGGCTGGCTGTTCATTTGAGAGCTTACCCCAGCAGGCTGCACATCTCTTCCTCTGTGGATGTATTTCACCTGGAAGCTACTGTGATTTTCTCTATAGCTCATACACCACTCTGCCAACATATCTTCTTATCTACAACATCTCTAGTTTCTTATTCCCATTTCCCCCCTTTTTTCTTTCCTTCCCTATTATCAGAAGGAGCATTTTCTAGCCGCTAAAGCACAGGACTGAAAAATCTATGACTATATGTTCTGTGCTCCTCCAGTATCTTATTTTGTAATCTTGGCCAAGTTGTTTAATTTTTCTGCACCTCAGATTCCTCATCTGTAAAATGAAGGTCATTGCCATGTATTCATAAATATCTCATAATGGTACTCGAGGACTTTAATATTCGAAAAGTGATTTGAGAACCTCAGAGGCATGATGGTGCTCTCGCCACGTAAAAAGCATTACTTTACCCTGGGGCATGGATTTGGGGATGTAATGTACAGCTGAGGATGGGTTAAGCCTTTTCTTTATTATTTGTCAGACTGAAGGAAAGTAAAAGAAAGCTTTCAGCAACAAAAATTAGGAATGGGATAAATTTTTCTTCTGGTACATAGTATCTTTGCCTAAATTGATTTTTGAACATAGAATTAGGCAGTTACAGCTCTTCATTAGCAGACGTGTTAAAAGGTGCATCACATAAAATCCAGAGATCAACAGGTTATTTTATGCCGAGCTATATAAATCATCAGTCATTTTCATGTATGTAGGTGGTCTATGTAAGTGTCTCAAGAGAATCACAGTTGCTGCTGATCTTTCTGTTTTCTTCACACAATGCAGATTATAAATATTGTCTAGTTAAAAACAAATCATTGTCAACGGTAATATAGACTAGCAATTCTGTAGCAGCCCTCAAGGTATTTGAAAAGACATGCCCATGATATTGAAAAATCAATTGGAAATCTCCTTCAATATGTACAGATCCCAGCATGTAAAACAAACACGTAATAGGGTGGTGAGCTGGTGTAGGAGAATGCACAGGAGATAAAACTAGCCAGATGGTAAAGGCTTTCTAACAAGGCTCTGAATGTTATTTTCATTGCTCCAAGTTACTCAGTGCAATAAGATAGTATGGGCTTTGTGCAGGATAATATCATTAAATATGTGAGTATATCTCTGAAATGGCATTTTTTCTCCTGCTTTATTTACTTAGGGTTTTAGCAAGGCCGTTCTGCCTTTAGGCTGAACCATCATCAATTTCTCCCGTAGGTTTTTTAATGCAAATTTAAACTTCTACTGCCTTTTGATGGATCATTTTAAATTCCAAAAACACCTTTAAAATAAACTATATCTTGTCCTTTTGAGGTAATTGATGATCTAAAATATCTTCTCTGCCAAATGCAGTCTTGCTTTCCTTTCTGCTGTCTCTCAAATCCTATTCAAAACGCAAAAGTCCCAGAATACTCAAAGATATTCATGATCCCTACTAGCCCCAAATACATTAACATCCATAATTCTTGTGCCAGATACTGAGCTGAGTTGTATTCTTAGTTGTGATGGGGAAATCAAGTCTATAATAATAAAAAGTGCTAATACACTGCTAATTGCTTATTACCCTAAGGTAAAACCCACCTGTCTGAAGTTCTTACCAAGATAAGCAATACAGTGTTCTATAGCATTTGATGTTATATAATGAGTTTATAGGTACAAAATGAAGATGAAAATATAGTAATAGTATTGCTTTAAAACATTTCTTTTAGTCTCCAAATATCAAAGGTATGCAATGGATGGCAGCTAAAAGGTTTACAATTTGATCTGTTAGAGACCTGCTGAGTGCGGTGGAGAAGAGCCAAGGCTTGCTGCAGGTTGCAGAGGTGATATTCCAACAAATACACAGGTGGAAGGCTCCAGTTTGAGCAGATTTGCATGGCAGAGCCCTGCAGCTCTGCAACTCTCAACTACATCTCTTGGGTTTACCCACACACCAAATACTGTGACAGAATGGCATGTGGCTTAGTGAGCTTCATTATTTATTGTATTGCAGTAAGATCTTTGCTGCGAGTTAAACAGAGCTACCTCCTTCAGCCTGGCTCTCCAGCTGCACAAACAGGACACAGCTTACTCCCAGAAAGAACCCAGCTAGTTATTGGAATCGACCTTTCTCACTTGGGATTATGGGTCTGGCAGTCACACCTGGCAGCACACACACACACATATAGATGTAAATCTAAATCTATATCCAACCTTTCCAGAGTGAAAGAGGTATTAAACAAACTCCCTTTACTCTTAAGTAGCAAGGTCAGTTCATGCACAATGCATTGGTGCATTTACATTCAATTTTATTTTTTTTTGAATGGGAAGGACGAGCTGAAGGACTCCTAGGATCAAGTTAAACTTCTCAGGTTGTTTTTTCTCTTTATTTACAGGAAGTGCCATTTTGCCACAAGAAAAATACAGTTTATAGCACCATCCATCCTCCTTCACTCATAGATCTCACTTGTACCTGCAGTCCTGGGCTGAGTAGTTGCACTTTACCGGAGGGAATTTCAGCAATTGGAGAGCTATATGAGTGATACCGGTCAGCCCAGCTGCACATTTGCTTGCAACATTCACTGCAAACCATCAGTTGGCTGCACTCACACCCCTTTTGTGTTTTTCCCATTTCATGGCATAGTTGGGGAGATCTTCTGCTCAGGCAAAACCTAGGTGAATTCTCTCTTGTTAAGTCTGCTGGTTCAACAGTGGTGTTTCCATTTCCTCATTCCTGCAATTCTGAGGACTACCCGAGGCAGCAGACTGGCAGGGAAGGTTATTTTGTAATAGGCACTGTTTCTTTCTCTTCCTTCTCTCCAGAAAAGTGTCAGTCGTTCCTACTGCTGTGCAGGGAGCCTTTTACTGCTGTGTTCAGGAGGCACTTGAATTCTTGTCCCACTGATTACAGCAGGCAGCTTGCATTCTGATTGCATTCAGAGTTGCAGCCATCTTGCAACACACACGCAAATTGACAAGAGCTCATGCTTTTTTGATGTCATGAAAAGCTGCATGGCAGCAAAAATCTCCTAGGGTTTGATATTGCGTTATAATGTTAAAAAGGAGAAAAAAGTACAGCATTAAAACTTTTCTTTCCAAAATATGTGCATCCCCATGTATTACTTCCAAGTTACTGGTACATGAAATCCCATGTCACCTCAGCTGTGCAGCATGCTAGAGGAGGAAAGCATCATACTGTGGCAACAAGGCTAGCTAGCATTAAGAGAGCCCTCTTCTCTAGGTGGGAACAACCTTCATGACTTGGCAAGTCACTTAATCTTGCTGTGTGCCTTGGTTCCGTATGTTTAAAATGAGGATAAATAGCATTTTGCTACTTCCTGGGGACTTTGGTAGGGTAAACACGATTCTAGTATCACAGTGCTTAGAAATTGGGAGGTATCACTTTTAACATCTTTAGATCCTTTCTTCCTCCTGGTATAGACCCCTGTCAGAGCAGCAGCAACAGCTACTGACGGACCCCACTAGAAAACAGCTACATGAAATTTAGCAGCACCCCTGTGATGTCGCTGTTCTTGACATCAGGGAGAGAACAAAAAGATGCAGTGGTCACTGATAGCGGAGATGACTGACCAGCTTTAGAGAGGGAATATAAGTTGGGCTGTGAACTTGAGAGCTGCATTTCTGAACACACTTCTTAAAAGGACAAGAAGTAAACACAAGGACAAGGAATGTGTATGAAAGCTGCTGGTAGTTTTCTGGATCACAGTTTTGGGTGTGAACACCAAAATTCT